CTGCCCCTGTACCCGCCTGCCTGAGATTGCTCTTCTTTCCGAGGAGATGTGTTAAATGCATTGAATAGTCCTTGGAGGAATATTCATCTTCCCTTCTCTAACATCTCCCTTCGCTCCCCATCCCCCATCGCAGCCCTGCCTGTATCCCTCTTCCTTTCTTCCTTCCAGCTCGGTTCACCGTCAGCCTTTGGTTAACGTGTATGCTCAGGGAAAGAATTTATTGGAGAATTACCTCTTTTCCTGGTTTATTTTAGCTGTTTAATCAGGCTGTTAAAATGTTTGAGGAGGTTTATCTTTTGAATAGATGGTCTGAGCTGTGAACAATAATTTTGATTGGGCAGATGTCGCTGGCGCTTTTCAATATTGTTTAAATACTTCATATAAAAATACAGCTTGACCCACAGAAGAACTGAAGATGAGTGGCTTAGCGACCTCCGTATACGTGTGTCTTTGTAGCTTGTTTTATTATCCGGCGCTATTTGGGTGTAAAACCACATCGTTAGCCCTTTTAGCTGTCAGTCTGTGCTAGTGGTCTGGGAACAAAAAAAGAAAAACTAATAATCTCAATGTAAATGTTGCATCGGGGATTGTCTGAAATGTGGGGAGGAGGCCGCGGATGTTGCGCAAGGCGGAGGGGAGTTGGGAGCCCTGGCAGGTCCAGGGGTGGAAGAGGAAGTGGAGTGGACTTTGGGAAGTAAGGAGTTCATCCAGGGTGGGGTGGGAGCCCGTGGGAAATGGGCCACGCTCTTTGGGCAGGATTTTGCAAATACTGCAAGTATGCTGCCGAAACATCTGAGCGTGTGGGAAAGGAAGAGAGAAAAATGTAAAATGCAGAATGGCGTTGGAGCGATGGCACTTCTAAATCTCTTTCGCTGAATAGAGCATCTTTGCAGGAGAATCTAAGGGTTTAATATCTTTGTGAGAACCGTTTCATTAAGTGGTAGTTTTAGTAATATAATTGCTATTAAACACAAATTGACATCTTGTCTTATACTAATGAGTCCGTCTTGTTCACATAAACTACGCATACTTTGCAGCAAGGGTGACCTAGACTGGTGGAAAATGCAGGCCTTTTTAATAGCCTTTATGTTAAATACTTTGTACTAGATCTCGTAATCCACTTCTTCCATTTCATATCGTAAATAGCGTAATGTTTTAGCAATGCTATTGTCGAATGGTATACAATAGTTTTGTTATCCTTTCTTCTAAGTAGTAGCACCTCTGTATGGAAAAATAGCTTTTGTTTCGATTTCTCTATTTGACAGCATGTTGTTTCTATAGCTTTCAACTGTAGAGTCAGTAGCTTTCCCATTGCTTCTGTAGAGCAACAAGGAAAGAGAATGCTGCTAAAAAATAGAAAAATAGGATTGGAGGAGCTAATTGGCAAGGCATTTCAGGAGAAAGAAGTATAACCTGGTACGATGTTAAATGCTTTGGAAAGAATTGCATTCAAAATTTCTTTTGTCCTCATAAGACTTCTGATTTCAAACTTTTATATTTGATTTTTGCATAATAAACTATAGAAAACCCAGGAAACTAGGATGCTGATCACATTAATATTCACATTAATTTCACCTCTGTATACTAAAGCAGTTGCAGATTAGTATGGTGACAAGAATCATAATTGCTGATTTATTCATTTTTTCACTATGAACATGTTGGGATTTTGGGTGTGTGTGTTGGTGTGGTTTTTCTTTTTTTAACAGAGCCATGCTTAGATGCTCTTTAAAATAGCTGAAAGGGAGGTGGAAAGAGAGGTGAAGGGCATAAAAAGCTTCAGTATTCTGTTTTCTTTAAGACGTAGTAGAGATTTTTTTTGGGGGGGGGGAGGAGGAAGTTGTATTTTCTCATTTAAGTGCAGGATGTACTGTTGCTGCGAAGCAGTGGCAAATTTGTGGAAGAGGAATTGCTGTTACTCATCGCTTCATTTCCAAGTCAAAATGGAATCTAAAAATAGGAATGGAATAGTGGGTGAATGCGATTGAAAACAATTCTTTATTTTCACATCTTTTTTTTTTTTGAATGTGTTGAGTAATAGGGTTACGGAATTGTATTTAGGCCCGAGTGAATGAACTAAAAGTACTTGATAGACAGGTGCTGGGGAGTGCTGGAAGAGAGGGCAGAGAAGCCAGAGTTAGGCACAGGTAGACTGATTAGTCTGGCTGAATGTTATTGGAAGTCCATAGTGCAGATGACTAGGGCTGCTATTTAATAATGCCATTGGCGTTCCACTTGGAAGGTGGAAAGCTGATTTTTTCCCCTGCCCCCCCTGTTTACAAGACAAACTGGATAATCTGGGCACCAATAGCAAGTTAGTTCTTGGAAAGCAAATGTATTTAATTTTAATTAGCTTGCACTAGAAAGTTAGCAGGAGTTAGGAGCAGATCACTTCAGCACTATGGGTTCAGCACAATTTGGTTTAAATGAAGCAATTTGAAAACAGTATAGGATTGTCTGTGTGTTTTGCCAATAAGCATGTATCTGTGTTTGTAGGAGCAAGTGGGCTTTTCCTTAAAGTAATGAAGGTTAAGATTTTACTAGCATGGTTACGATATGCCCAAGGTATGCTTTTTCCTTGATTTCTGCTGATACTGCTATTTGGGCAAAAGGAAGTCAGTATAGATTGCTTCCTCTTGGTGTTTCATGTTGTATGAATACAACCAGCATAGTCTAGATGCAGATTTTCTATAATGAGCATGTGTCTTACATCAAACAAGGGTTGGAAGTCAAAGCTCCATATGGAGGTGAAGAAAATAGTTTTTCTGTATTTTAGAAAGACCTCAATAAATATCTTTGATGGATTTTTCATTTCATTTATCCACATTTTTGTGTTGTTATGCAGTAATCTCCACGAAAGCATTCTGACAGTCTCATTTTTATAGTCTGATGTAGATTGCCATGTTGTAGGAGAACTGAAATATGAATGATGTAAAGCTTTACCTTAAAAATAAGAATTGTTATTTTTGAAATATTTTGTGATATATGGCAATCTTGCTTAATGTTTTGGCTTGTATCTCTGGCTAATTGATTGTCCTGGAACACAGAGAATGGCTGAAATTGATTTTTGCATTGGGCCCTATGTAGGGGAGCCTCAGCTGTTGTCTGGAGGTAATGGTATCAAAATGATTCTTAGACAATCAGTCTAAATAATAATGCTTTGTAACAACTTTGCAAGGAGTTACTAGGTACCTACATGTGGTCTCGGATCTTTTTATACCTTTCATTCAAGAGGACACTTGTAACTAACTCAAACAACTGAATATTATGTATCTGTGTTCTGCTTAATCCATCTAAGCCGAAACTCTTCGGTTTGGAGACAGTAAAGAACTCGCTGTGCTGTCTAAAGTATGAAAGAGGATTTGAATGGGTCATTGATTTGAAATGGGTAAGAAGATAGTTTCTATGCTTTTAACCTCTCAGTGGTTTTATTTTCAAAATTCTTATTTTTAAGTATTTCTACCTCATTGTTTTGTGAAAATGCTGTTTAAAAGAAGGGGAGGTGGAATGTGCTTGACTTCTACGGATAAAAGCTAAGCTGATCATAAGCAGTGATACACCAGATGTTATAAAACTTGCCTTCCCTGTAGTGTTAATTATTTTTTTTCAGGAAAGTACATCTTTTCTACAGTGCTTAAGACTACTAAAATAAATTAGGAATCTAGACTATTCTAAATCACTGATCAGGGCTACTGAGGTACATAGTGAAAGTCCATGTACTAATTGCCATTGTGACATTGATTTTATTCTAATTCCTGTACATTCTGAAATAGCATTAAAGATATCACAAATAGTACGTTAAACCATAGCCATAGCACTTGAGCAACACCCTTCTTAGAAGCTTTTGTGTGTATTAATGTGCATTTGTGTAAAT